ATTTTAAAAAACTAAATCTGTGAATTTAAATCCTTTTAGTTAGTATATGCTAGCTAAATATAAGAAAGATGGGATGATAGAAAGAAAAGTGGTGATTGATATATTTTAAATTCAAATTTTTTAATATTTTTAGAATGTGAAGTTTAGATTCTCTTAATGAGATAGGTGCTTGGAATTTCTTTTAAATGAAACACTAAGTGCTTCCTTAATACTATTATCTATATCTTATGAATGTAGAAGTATATGATTACATGCATATTATACATGTTAATAACGAATATGATTTGGAATCAACTTCGCACCACATACAATCATATAATGATACCAATTGATTCAAGATTTTTATGAACCCAAGCTTTATTGGCAAGAAATCAAGGTGCCAACTTAAGAGTTTGCAAGAAACCAACTCTTCACCCGGAAGTTTTCCTATGCATGAATAGGCTGAAGATTCTTAATGTTTTTAAGAAAGGGTTTCTTTAGGGTTTATCCAAGAACCATGCAAGATGATAACAAGATATGAAAATTTATCTCAGATACTATGCATAATTAAGCAAGATGAACACAGGATAACCATACAATTGTTTCCTTCCATGCTTAATTTCTTCATATAAAATTTTAATAGTTTTAATTCTTTTTAATTCCCCATCCTAATTTCAGCAGAAGATAAATTAGACTATTAAACTATTCTTTGGATAAATTTACTTTTAATTTGCAATCAAGATAACTCTTGCTATTATTATTTTTTAGTTTGAGTTTATTTAGTTTATTATTATAGATAAGGTCGTCTTTTGTGGAGTTAAAGAATATATTAGATTCTATCCTTTGCTATATTTTCCTTTTTAAAGTCCTTAATTATTGCAATAAAATCAATTAAATATTTTCCCCAAAAGTCTCATTCCCTCATTATTTCTTCTCACAAAGCTTCTCTTTTTAGCATTTGGTTTTTGATCATTTAGCTCATGATTGAACTTCTTCTCTTTGCTTTTGATAGATACTTCGATGTTTTCTGACTTGTTGGTGGTTGTTGCTTGCTGCTAGTACTGCCTGTAATTGTTGCTACTATGTGCTATCTTAATTTAGATGATACTCGTAAAAGAAGAAGTTGATTTTGTTTTTCTATTTACAAACTAAAGATAGCGATCATTACACTTTATTACTATTTTGTGAGAACTCAATATCAACATCAAAACTTGCAATTTATAGTGAGAATAAATCCAAAATTGAGGAGAGTCATCCCATTGAGACCTCTATGTTTCTCTCCAAAGAATTCTTATATTATTCATATCCATCTTAGTCTCTTATTGTGGGATTTTGTCATTGCACTGAGAAGCTTTGCTGATATCAAAGCGCCAATTATTTGTGCATGGTACAAAACAAGAGGGGCATAAAGACAAGTGAGAACCATTTCTTGTATTTGAAAGTGAAAAGACGAGCAAGAAGAGAAAGAAAGCTAATTAATGGCTAAGAACGATCTTACCCCTAATCTAGCTAATCGAGCAGAAGAAATGACAATTTGTGGCAACACTAAGAATAATCTATGCAAGAGTGCTCCATAGAGTCTTAATGTCAAGCATATACTTTGAGATTAAATTCTAGGAAAAGTACAAATACTGATGAAATATATCTTAGGTTTTTATTTTCAAATGAAAATGAATTATGCATGTTCCTAAATATCAATCCCAGTTTGGTTAGAACGACCATGATGACCATAAAGCACTTGAACTAAGATAAAAAGGAGTATGCTCAAGAATCATCTAAAAAGGATTTTTTCAAATTTGTAAAAGCAAATAAAGGGTTGTATGTAGGAGTTGTTACTAATGCTTATACTTAAGTCATTAAGGAATGTATGTAGGAGCTGTTACTTATGTTCAAACACAAGGTGATTTGATCAAGTATTTTTCTATTTCAGTTGGATTATATCAAGGATCAGCTTTAAGCCCATATCTTTTTTTTTTGCTTTAGTTATGGATGTTCTTTCTAGATATTTGCAAGAGGATGGACTCTGGTGTATGCTTTTTGCTGATGATATTCTTCTTGTTGATTAGAATTGAGATGGAGTTGAAGGTAAACTTGAATTATGGAGGTCAATCTTAGAGCCTAAATGTTTTCATTTGATCATATCTAAAACCGAATTCATGAAGTGTAATTTTAGTAGTAATTGATCTAGTGGGGGGATTGTGACTTTGTCGATAAAATCATTAATAAGAGTAACATTTTAGATATCACGGGTCTATTGTTGTCCAGAGTGATGGTGAAATATATGGTTATATTATTAGTAGAATTCAAGTTAGATGGTTGAAGTGGAATAATGCTTCGGACCTATTGTGTGATAAAAAAGTGCACTTAAAATTATGGGAAAATTCTATAAGATGGTGGTGGGACTTGCAATGCTTTATGGTGCAAAATGGTGGCCATTAAAAGTGAAGCATAAAATTAAGTGTTGCAAAGATGAGGATGCTCAGGTGGATGAGTGACCTTGGACCATCAAGTCATTAATAAGAGTACATATTAGAGTGATGGTGAACTAGATGTTGATATTATTAGTAGAATTCAAGTTGGATGGTTAAAGTGGAGGGATACTTTGGGCCTGTTGTGTGATACCAAAGTACCCCTCAACTTAAGGGAAAATTCTATATGATGGTGGTGAAACTTGTAATGCTTTATGGTGCAAAATGTTGGCCATTAAAAGTGAAGCATAAAATTAAGTGTTGCAAAGATAAGGATGCTCAGGTGGATGGTGGCTTTACTCTTAGAGACGAAAGGCAAAACAAAGCATATAAGTGAAAAGGTTGGAGTAGCTCTAATGGTAGATAAGATTAGTGAGAGTCGACTTGGATGGTTTGGTCACATAAAAATCGGCTATTTGATGACCCGGTTAGGAGAGTAGATGTATTAGGTTTGGCCTATGTTAAGAAAGTCGAGTTAGACCTTAGAAGATTTGGCTAGAAAATATTATGATATTTTTTAATTACATTTAAATGAGAATTTGACTCTTAATCGGACAAACATGGGTCTCAAAATCTTACCCGCCCCAAACACGACTTGAAAAATTTTGACCCGTTTGTAAAACCAGGTTGGGTTCGAGTTGACCTGAAAACCCAAAACCAACCCGAGTTGACCCGAAAACCTAGCTTCCGCGCTCGCTTGTCGCCTTGCGTGACTGCATTGGACGGTCGCTAGCTACTTGGCTTGCTACCGTAGGCCACTTGCAAGCCGAAGTTCGCCAATCCAACAATCCCGCACCTTGATGGCTAGATCCGGCCTAGCCCTGCATGCCCGCACCACTGCCTGGCTAGTCATCCGCTTTCACCACTTCGCCTCAGTGCCTCTGCCTCACGTTCGGTCCACCCACCGACTCGCGTTCGATTGTGCCTCAAGACCCGCCACATTTGCCTTACGTTCGACCTGTTCGGACCGAACTCCAGTTGTCGCCACAGACCATGATCCGCCTATCGATCGCCTGCCCTTGTCTCGCGAGTCTCATCCAGAATTCAGACCCCGTTGCAGACCACAGTTCGCTCGCCTGCCTGCACAGCGTGTTTGGGGTAGTGGGTCGGGTTTGAAAACTTGACCACCCGTTTGCAAAACTGAATCGGGTTAGGGTCAACTCATTTGGACCCGGATCAATTCGGGTTGGGCTCGAACCCAAACTGTTGACTCGTTTGAATACCCCTACGGACACAACAGAGAAAAATGATTCATGTTATTGCCCCTGTGTAGTGGGATAAAGGCTTGATGTTATTGTAGAAACAAAGAAGGAAAAAAAGACTAATTTCTCTAAATTGTGTTTCATTGCTAAATGATTGGTCATATCAAAGGAAAATATTATTAGAAGTTGCACCTTGACCTCTCTTCTCTGAAAATGAAAGAACGGTATGAAAGAAAAAGCAATTATTTTTGTGATGAACATTGATAAGCATACTCCCTTGTTTCTCTGATGGCAATGCCAAGGATATAGCAATGGTGGCATTCTCCAATATTGGCATATGAGTGTTCATCGTGAGTGTATAGGTCAAGTAACCGGTAATTAGTACCATCATGAACATCATTAGCTAGAAGAATCGCATTTTTGCCATTTTGGTGCATAATTAGGGTGAGACTATTTGTTGTTGAAGTCATAATTTGGATGTTAGATTATGAAGGGATATGAAGTTTGTATTCTTTGATGTTTCAATGGTCTTATTTCTTTATGTAAATTATTGACAATTATGATTATTTTTAATCCCCCATCTAAATTAAAGCGAAGAAGAAATCAAATTGTTGAACTTTGTTTAGACTTTGCAGATACTGCAGTAAGAATAAAAGGACTTTTTTTTTCCGGTGAAATGATAAGGTTCTATTTTGCTGTTTAAAACAAAGAAGAGGCAGATTACAGTGGTTTTCCGCTCATATCATGAAGGAAAATAAACAAGTCTCCATGTATTCCTCTTCACATATCCTTTGTTTTCCCCCTTCTCTCTCTCTCTCTCTCTGCCCCCTAGAAAAGGATATATGGATAAACTTGACTAGTTCAGCATCTTTTTTTGATTACGATGTACGGAGTTTGTAAATACAATGACGTCTGCTGCTTCTGGATATTATATACGGTTTAACGTTTCATCTTGTAGTCATTATTAGCGTCTTAGCTTTCTATTTTTTTGGTTTATATGTAAATTGCTACTGTTCAAGGTTCCATATTCTACTTATTTCTTTTTTAGTTAAATTTTGATTAGCGCAGGTCATGCTACGATTAAAGAAAAAAATAATAGTTTACAAATTTAAAATCGTTGGGCATATGTTCTACAATTTCCTCTCCTTTTTATGCAAATGCTCGCTGTTTAACGTTGCACCTAACATGGGTTCAAGAAGTCTTCTGAATCTACCCACAACATCTTTCTCTTAAATCTCAAATGATAAAATATATTTTTGGCAAGTTTAGCCCATTGAAATAATTTTTTGAAATTTATTGGTATTCTTTGGTAAATGTTGTACTTATGATTCCTTTTCATCTGTTTTTTAAGTTTTAGGGAATCCTTCTAAGATTGTGGCTGGCAAGGCAACCGCAGCTAAAGTTGCTTCTGGAAAGGCTGATAATGCGTCTGCTAAATTGAAGTCTAAGGCGGAGATTAAAGAGCCCATTAAAGATGATAAAAATAAGGTGGAAGTCAAAGATGAGGATAATAGTGATGACGACGAAGACGACGAAGATGATGATTCTGAAGAAGAATCTGATGATGATGAGGTTTGCTGCCACTTTAAAATTTTGTTCCTACTAATTTTGCTTCATTGCATTTTTCATGCTTGTGGAGCTTTATTTTGTTTATTCTTGTTTAATTGCCTGTGATCCATTCAGCTCATTAGATTAAAAGCTTTGTTTGGGATGGCTTTCTTACTTCTTTCTAAAACAACCTTTTAGTATAAAATTTTTTAGAACTAGAATTTTTTTGTACTAAAAAAACTATAAAAATAGTAAAAAAGCAGTCCCAAACGATGCCTAAGGTATATGTGATGATTCTGGTTGTTGCAATTTGCTGCTCTACTTGACTGTAGAGCAGAGCAATTGGTCATGGAATAAAAATACTTTCTCGCAGGAAATGCTTGCGGCACCCGGCGACGACGGCTCCAGCGAAGAGGATGATGAGAGCTCCGACGAAGAGGGTACGCCGAAGAAGGTACTCCGTCTCGCAAGGTTCATTTTTTCATACTTCGATTTCACACAATGACTGCAACAAAATCTGTTCACTACTTCTGAAGGTTGAAAACATCATTAAGAGAAAAGCAGATTCCGCTTCAAAAACACCTGTTCCTGAGAAGAAAGCTAAGCTCGTTACTCCTGCTGGAACCCAGAAAACAGGTTCTGTTGTCCTCCCGAATTGTTATGTTTTATTTTTTTAGGTTTTGGGACAGCTTTCTTACTGCTTTTTCAAGCAGCTTTTTAGTAAGAAAATTTTAATTTTTAAATTAAAAAGCTGTTTTAAGTAGCAATAAAAAAACCGTCCAAAACGAAAATGAAGCCTTAGTCGTTGGTGTTCACTAAGACCTTGCTACAGGTGGTGGTGGTGATGGGAAGAAAAGTGTTCACATTGCAACTCCTCATCCGTCTAAGCTTGGTGGAAAGCCTCAGCAGTCTCCAAAATCCGGCGGAACCGCAGCTTGCAAATCCTGCAACAGGTCTGCATCTACACATATACATAAATTTCTGAGAGTTTATCTTATATTGACCTTTACATTTTGAATGATAAACTAATAAATCTCTTTTAAATTTGATTAAATGATTATAATATCAGATTTTTTATTGTTTGTTTGGAACAGTTTTTTTACCGCTTTATAAAACTCTTATAGAAAAAATAAACTTCTAAAATTATGATAGAAAGCATCTTCTTAGAGAAAATAATGGCCAATTAGAAATAATGGTTGTTATCTGAAAAATAAAACATTACAAAATTGTCTCAAACGAAGTCATAGACTTCTCTTGCGGCAATTTTCTTCTTGCTTTCTAAGGCTTCGTTTGGGACGATTTTCTTTCTGCTTCTTAAAGCTGCTTTATGAAGCAGGAAGAAAGTCGTCCCAAATGAAGCCTAAAACACTTTTTTAGTATAAAAATTATTTAAACTTGAAATTTTTGTACCAAAAAGTTGCTTTAGAAAACAATAAGAAAGCTATCCTAAACGAAGTCATAATCTGTTACAAGAGATTGGAATTCTTACACATCTGTTTATGATGGATTCATCTCCAGGACTTTTGTCTCCGACAATGCTCTTCAAGCGCACAACAAAGCCAAGCATGGCGCTGCGCCTGCAAAGTGAGTGGGGGGAATGAAAGGATTCATCGGCTTCTGCTTCGATTTTTGGCTTTTAGCTTAAGCGGTTTTCTGTGAGTGTCTGTCTTATTATTCTGAACGAGCAGTTCCTTTTTAGGACTTGGGGGTATTATTAACTGGATCACTATGGGCTAGTGCTTCGTTCTTATTATTGCCAGTGCTTATTTGGCTCTTCTTTATATTTAATCTACTCCTAATGATATTGCCATGAAATGCTGTTTGTTAGAAAAAAAACCTTGTTTTTTCCTGTGACGAGGAAGCACTGTCCTTAGGTTAGTGAAAATTCCGGTTGACCTACCATGCAATCCACACCAATTTACATGGGCTAACACTTGAGGCTTTCACTGCTTGCGAAGGGATTCGAATCAGGGACTTGGGTTTTTGCCCAGTTGGTTCTTCATCACCCGGACAAGCAGCGGTGGGTAAAAATCTTGTTTCAATGAGAATTATATGGTTGTTGGTATGATCTCTTTATAATTTCCTTAAAGAAGTGATAATGTGATTAAATATAAAATAATTTTTAAACTAGGGGTGGAAATGATTAATTAATTGAGCTTGAGTTTAATTTTGTGGGTTCGAGCTTGTTTGGTTATGAGAAAAGAGAAAATGATTATGATGTAAGGAATTATTATAATGAAATAATAATAAATTACTTATAAAAAAGATGTCATTTTTAAAGATTTTGAATAATTTTATAATTTAAGTGTATTTTATGATAATTTTTTTTAAAATGAGTTGGTTTATGTGCTATCAAGTTGAGTTGAGATTGGCTCAAATTGGGATCTTTAGTTCATCGAATTTGGCTCATAAGTACTATTTGGTGATAGTTTATGATTGGAATATGGCTATTAATTTCTTTTAAGGCTTCTAAATACATTGATCACGGTATGAATCCATATATTTAGTTAGTTCAAGCATTCTCTCCAACGATTTGAAATATTGAAGTAATTTAATAATATTATAAACTAATTATATTATTTTGATATTTGAAGATTATTCGATTGATTATAAAGTTATTTTGTATTTGCTTTAATGAAAATAAAAATTAATTTGTATTAGTAGTAATCGATGGCCCTCGCAATTCCAATCTTATTTTTTTCCCAAAAATATGAATGAAATCATGCAATGATCCAAATAAATTTAAGTATCAATGCTTACCTTTCATCCTCAAAGGCCTTTGGTGTCCTTTTTCTGTTCAATACATGAAAACTAATTTCAAGAGAATCAAAGATTAATGAAACTATGATTACTTGAATTATAATTCATAGATATTGGATTACAATCACATAACATTCCTAAACAAGTTGAACCATCCACACCATGGCTATGTTTTGCTTGTGAAGTTTGGCTAAGCTTTTCCTTGATCAATGAAGATAACTCATTGAAATGCATCATGATAGAGGCCACTTGCTTCTCATTTATGGTTGATCTTTCCCATGCAATCTTTTATAGTTTTGATCATTGTATGAGTATCATCTGCCATTATTATGATCCAAGAGCAAAGGGTGTCTTTAAGCAAACTTTGTAGATTCGAATGACTTAGATGGTGACCGGTTTGATAATGCAGTAAGATATGATAATTCGAAGAGATTTGAGCCTGTAGTGGTGAATGGGGAGATAAAGTCTAATATATGGGTTCGACAATGGGAGATATAGTTGGGTAAACGGATAGTAAATTTTGCCAATGGGAAGAATTATGGTTGAAGATAGCGTAGGAGTGGTAGACCAATGACAATATGTAGACCCGTAATATTGCCGAGGTAATAGTGGATAATTGGAAGAAAAGATAGCACGATTGGATTGATAATGGTGTGGAAGGAGTGTTTCATATTTATACTTAAAGAAGGAATGCATTGATAGAGCATCCATATGAAGGATGGATGCCATGGTTAATTACGGGTAAGGGAAAATACAATCAGAATAGGGAGATAATACAGATAGCTCTATGAATTTGAAGATAAAAATGTCGACAACTTATGTGCAAGAATTTGTGACCTTCATGTGTTGACAAAGCAAGTGAAGATCAATGAAAGCACTAATATTAAGAATTTGGATCTTGTTCAAAGCTTCCAACTCTCCTAGGTAACAATCCACATAAAGCAAAGTAAGAAGATAAAAAGTAAAAATTCAAGGAAGAAGAAAAATGCAAGGAAAATTATCTTGGCTAGCCTATATACCCCCATTTCCTTTTCAAATAGTTTATATTGCTGTTACAATGATTTATTAGTTACAAAACTAACTAACTAATTGTTACAACATACAATTAACAAGTAATTATAATAAAATACTTGCATTCTTACTAAAAACCACAACTTCATTTAACTATAATTTTTGTTACTTAGTGCAACTTTAATACAACTAATTATAATTAATTAGAGCAACATCAGAAAATGTGACCATCTTAATGAAGCACATAATACGATTACTTAGAAGCACCTGTGATAAGGAAGACCTAAACAAAGTTAGCATGTTTGTTATGACAATCAAAAGAAAGAATAATAACAAGAATGACAAACCTTCTACCAAAGAGAAGGGAAAGGAATCCAAGGTAGTGAAAAGTAGAAATGGAATCAGAAGAGTTCTAACATAGATAATTATGCAAACTTTTATTTTAGAAGTAATATTTTTTGTGATCGTTCTCAAATATTGGGACGTAATAAAGTGAAATCTTAGAAGCTTCATTCAAAACTATTTTTGAAGAAGTTTAAGATTGAGGAGAAAAGGAAGAAGGTGCCAAGCACTATTGAGTAAGATCACGTTTTGGAGTTGGTAAATCAACTAAATTAAACCTTTCATTTATGAAAATATTGAAGGGGAAAGAACAAAGAAAGGCATAAGCTTACTTATGTGAACATGATGAACTATATATATATATATATATATATTTGGAGGGCTATTCAAATTTTGATGGGGAACCACATGTAATTGGATTATTTATGTCATCTTAATTCAGTTACAGAGCAAACATTTTCCACTTACAAACATGTAAGATGTTAAATTTCTCATCAGTCATCACCATTAAAATAAATGTCTTTTTCATGTCAATCAAGGATCTCTGCATATATAAGTTAGTTTTTTTATAGGCAAGTGATGTTTCATAATGGAGAGAGAAAGTTTTGGAGGTTTTAACAACAATGGCGATAAGATTGGTGGAGATGGAGGTGAAATAACAATGAGCTTGGCTAATTCAATAGCCTGATCAAGTATGGATGGGTGAAGACTGTAGACATCAGGGGGATTATGAGCTTCAATATAAACTCAAAATAGCTTTGGAGGAAAATTTCATCCATGCTATAAACTTAGTTTGCTAATTATTCAAATTAGAATTGGTATGAACCAAATGTGGATGCTTACCTTAGCTTGGCGAGTTCACCTCACTAATCTCAATATTTAGAGGGGTTGAAGTAATTTTCTAATACTTTAAAGGAGTAAGATCATGAAGAGATAAATTTAATTTTAACTACTTAGAGGTACCACTCTTCTAGAGGGACACCCATGTCATCATCTGAGAGTTGATGGAAGCCCTAACATTATTTAGTTTTTTGTATTTTGGCTTTTGGGTTGCCATTGAAAACATGTAGAATGGCTTTTCATATTGATTTGAATAGGTTACAACCATGAGTTATCACATAGTTGAGTCAACTAATAATGCTACTTGATATTGCTCATTTAACATCAAGTTTTATTAATTGGAGTTAGGATATCATGAAAGGATGCTATGTTCAATATTTTTAGATTACTTAAAATATTTTAAAATATTTTTTTTAATTTGAAAAATATTTAAATCAATTATTTAATTAATATTAATTAAATATTTAAATAGTTCAATAATTAAATTTATTTAAATTAATATTAATTTGAAAATATTTGAAGTATCTTTTCTGAATATTTTAAAAAATTAAGTTTTATAAAATATTTAGCTTAATATTTAATTAAATATTAATTAAAATCTAAATATTTAAATTTTTAAAAAAATTAAAACGTATAAAATATTTAAAATTAAATTATTTTAAATTTAAAATAATTTGATTAAAATACTTAATTAAGTTTTTTTATCTAACTTGAATTTTATTCAAAAGAATTTAAAATTTATGATAATTAATATATTTAAAATATTTTTAAAATAATATTAATATAATATTAAAAATATTTTCTAAAAATTTATATGATTTAGAATTAATTTTTATAAATTTTGAAAATATTTAATTAATATTTAATTAAATAATAACTAAATATTCAAATATATAATTATTATTTAAAATATATTAATGTTTTTAATTAATTTTAATTTTAAATTAAAAATATTTAAGTTTTAAAGAATTTGATATAAGAATTACATTTTCTAATTAAATTTAATTTTAAATGATTTTGTGAATTTTAATAATTAAATATATTTAAAATAATTAAATGTAATTAATGTTCAAAAATTAAATCAACATTAATTTTAAACTATTTATAAAAGTATGAGAATATATATATTTTGAATATATTAAATTTTTAATGATTTTTGTGAGTTTTAATAATTAATTATATTTAAATAATTAAATGTAATTAATGTTAAAAAATAATTTTAAAATTAAATCAACATAAATTTTAAACTATTTTACAAAAGTTGAGAATATATATATTTTGAATATATTAAAATTTTTTATAATAATTTAGTTATTTTTATTAAATTTTAATTAAAATTATTAAATATTCAATATTCTAGTTCATTAATCTTAAATTTAAATTAAAGGGTTTAAAATTCTAAGAATTTTGATTTATTATATGTGTATTTATGATTTAATAATAATTTTTTACCATTTTTTAAAGATATGGATTTAAAAATATATTTAAAAATAATTTTAAAATCATTTTAAGGGTTCTGGCGGCTGTGCGGCGACACGAGGGATACATGGCAACATGTCATTGGCCCAGTTTTAACTGCAGCAATCATTGCCACCTGATTAAACAATGGTGGGGCCCAATCATCTCACTTAACCAGGTCGGAATGAAATGAGAACCACTCGATCCTCTGCTGTTCGGATTGAACGGCTAGGATCAAGGCGGACGAAAATTTGGATAACCCCACTGATCGTGGGGTTAAGATAGATCGCAGTATAGCTTGATTTGGATAGTTGATCGTGTGATCAATGATTCAAAAAATGTGCAGCTCATGCACGCTGCGAATAAATCCTATAAATGAAAATCTAGCTTATTCGCTCTACACATTCAATGAAATT